GAGAGAGCTGGTACTGGAACGACCGCACTATCAGGTAGCATGTAAATGTGAAAGTTGGGCGTTGCGTTCGCCGATGGGCGGCATGGTGGCGTTGTCGCTGGGGTCGCCCTGCTATTTTGAGCCGAGAATCTGGCGCATCGCCCATCGTTACATGCACGACTACCATGCCCAACGAAGACGAGGTGCGTATTGAGTGAACGCCGAGCGTGTTTTTACCATCCAGTTACTTGTTCTTTCATGCTTGTATGGGCCTCTTTGGGCGTCTGAAATGTTAGTCTTTTACGGATGCAGACCACTAAATCTAAAACTACAGGATAAAGAATGCTGACTATTTACCTGAACACGTACGCGACTCAAGCTTCTAAAGGGTAATGTTGTAAGTGGTGTTTTAACGGGGCTGTAGTAGGCTATGACCACAACTTATCGCAAGCAATCTATCCGTTTAGCAAGCATGACCACGTGGTATGACTACGTGTATGTTCGTATCAAGTCTGCCTCCGTTGATCTCGTTCTACTTTTTCGTGAGCGTTATGTTCTCTATTTTCAGCCTCAGTGGAATTCCACCTAATAAAATTTCTACATCTGGATGTGTGACACGATTTGACACGGTGGACCTGCATTATGCATGGGTTATCGAAGATTTCAGCGCTCAAATGGACCTCCACTCCATCGGGGAACATCTGACGAGCAAGTGAATGTTCACCATGTTTTCTCTATTTTACTGAATAAATGTGAAACTTATACGCAGGAATTTTGGTGACAACGATCATGAATTCGTGTTGAAGTTATTTCCTGCTGGAAAGGACGAGGATTGCACGGGATATATCTCATTATACCTGCAGATAATAAGTGAGTGTACCCTAGTGTTTGTTTGCTCCTTTTAAGGTTGCTTGAGGTGTGAAACTTCTCCCTATATGTTCTGGCTTAAGCTGCGCTCAGAGCTTGCGTCAGCGTTTTTGGGCGTGCGGCAGCGTTTCCAGCGATTGCCCGCGAACAGTTTGAAATTACCTGCCAAATGTTTAAGCCGCTTGCATACGCTCAAAACGCTAGATGCAAATAACGTTAGGTACCGTCGCTGAAAACGCCAAAGCTAAGTATGATCGCAGCCTCAAGTCTGATTGTCCCCCCAATAATGAACCTGCTGCGGGTGGCTGCGTCGCGGTATATCGATCGAATATTGAGCGAAATTCCTTAGCCATTCTGTTTTTTTCAACTTCTTTATAACAAACTTCAAATGGAGCGCTTTTATCCACCTTATTTTGTCTGCCCTGCTTGGTCGCGAATTGAGTGAATGAAATGTCCATGATCGCCTCTCCATTAATCTCGGCGTGACGACAGCAATATTCAAAGAAGATCTTTAGCAGTCCGAGATCAATTACAATTCCTTTACTCGACCTACATTTCGGTAGTATTGCCTTCTTCAGAGCCTGTGAATTGAAACCCATTTTGGCACCCTGAGCTTAAGGATCTGGCGGTGATGCTTTTATACGTATTTGAAACGTATTAATTAGGGTGTTCCCCCAAGAACACAGAGACGCAGTGTTCTTTCGTACCAGGCATATTTGCCCTATTCGCCTTGTCGATTCGTGCCCCTTGCCTTTAAGCCGTCGTTCTGGCAGTTGACATTTGGAGGTGCATGGCGCGTTTGACAGAAGCTTCGAATGCGTTCATAGTTCGTCTCAGCATTTTGAGCGTATATCATGAGTGTATGTCAGCGTACACCAGCATTCGGAGGGTCGACACCGGTACTTTCGCAGTCGCTTACAAGGCTTACGCGATGTATGAACGCACTCTCATAGCGATTGAGACCTGGAAGCAGGGCACGCCATCGCGTTGCGATCATTTCCTGAAAAATACGACTCCCTAATTCCATCCTCAAATACGACCTCCTCCCTCCCCATGCTACCGTACCACTTTCTTAGATTTTCCCAACATCCGACACTTTTTTCTATATTTTTTTTCTCGAACTCGAAAAAGTTTTTCAGCGAAGAATTTCCCGTCGAGGGGGGGGGGAAGAGCGGAACTTGTCAGGATACATTTTCAACTGTCGGAGACAGTGTATTGATGTTTGGCAGTTCCTTTCCCAACAACGGCCAAATACGACCCCTCCCCCTTTATAGCGTCCGTGAAACAAGAGAAATCAACTATCAAAAAAATTTTCTCAGACCAAATACGACCCCCTCCCTCGCGGTCAAATACGACCCCCCCCCCTCCCGTTGTGATGATCACAACGGTGGCGTGCCCTGCTTGGAAGTGTATGATAGAACGCGTCGATAGAAGGTCAACACTTGTATTGTCAGCCATCAGCGACTGGAGGCCTTCCTCGATTATGCCTCGTCCTTTTTTTAATTTGTCACTCATCCCTTTACTTAATGTGCTCATGGTAATATTTACTACTTTCACTCCATTATAGGGTGTCCGAATCCCAAGATACAGTTGAGGATTCGCTTCAGCGTGGAAACGCCTGATGGACCCAGAGAATGTTCTTTGAATAAGAGTGTACTATCAATTAATCGTGGAGGGATAATCACTGCGAGCAAGTTTTTCCATTCAGATATTGTCAAGGTAGTTTGTGCTTTTGAATTGACATTATTAGATGAGAATACATCGCTGGTATTACAGAATAGGTTTCTACGGCGGGGGTTAAGAGATGCTCTCACGGTGAGCGCCGATATTACTGTGTTTCTGGATTCTAAGACAACTACTGTAAGTGTCCTTTTTTCTTGTTTTTCGTTACTGTTCCACTTACAGAATTGCATTTGCAATTGCATTGCACTGAATTGCATATTTCCAAGGATTGAGGGAGACCTGAAAACAATTCGAACTGTAGTTCGGCGCAGTTCGACGGCGGGAGGGGGGAGGGAGGGGTGCATTTTGCACTTTCGCTGCTTCAGTAGTTCCGGATTACAAGTTCCACCCTGATGAAACCTGTGAACTTTTGTAGTGAAACCTGCCAACTCAAAAACAGGCTCTCTAAATGGGTCGACACGTCGGTGGGAAGTAGCAAACGTGCAAAATGCCTCCCGCGCGCCGAACCACTCCCTAGTCCTGTTCATGCTTAACCTGTAGTACGAAGTTAGTCGCGAGGGCTCTTTAGGGGGACCCTTTTTTGCCTAGCTTGTCAGCTTCAATCCTTTTAAGTGGGAAATTTCATTGTTTTTTTGGGTTCTTCCTCGTAAAGTTTATGGTGGAATCCATAGGAAGATGTGTTTCGAGCAGAAATGCGGATGATAGGGCATGTCAGGGAGGGGTTCGACGCGATGCAGTCCGTTTCTTCTCCTTTTTTCTTTCATGCAGTGGCAAGGCTGTATCATATCGTTCCTGTCAGTCGTTTTCCATCAAGTGTTGTCGCTTACCCGCTCCGACAACTGGTGAAGAACGGGCTGACGGCGTGCCAAACCCAGCCACTGACACGCCCCATTATTCGCTGCGAACAGGACTGTAGCGCAGTGATCGTTGTTAGAGGCTGCCTCGCTCACAATCACCCACAAGTCTACCCTAATTTACCGTCGAGCAAGCCATCTGTCCAAAATTTTGAATCAATGCGATCTCTTTTTCTGTAGTTTTTCCTTTCTTTGTATTCCTCCCTCTTTTATCAGTTTTCGAAAATACCGCAAATCTTAAAATAACACACTGCATCGTGCGTAGCTCCTTCCAAACAATGCGTATGAGCCCGGAGGGCCAGAGACTGTGCACTCAGATTTGCGTTTTGTCTGGGGCAAAACGTTTTTGGGCCACTATTTGGCATTCTTGCGATGACCTACAACGACTTGAGATATTGCGCTACGAGAAAAGTTTAAGTATTCACCTGGCAGTTGCGGAGCTTGAACGATCCGGACAGATGGGAGTCTCCGCGTTTCCAGCGATTGCGAACCAGAGGAGTAGATGTGTATCGGTCGGCGCCGTTCGCTAGTGATTGTGGAGATCCAGCGATCCGGCGATATCCCAAGACGCCAGATCGCTGCCGCTCAATCATACTTTCCTTGTCGCGCAGGCTCTCAAATCGCTTACCCCAAATCGCCGAGTCTCTTCAGAGTCTCGCAACGTATAAGCACTGCCCTAATTCCAATGATTTCAGGAGGCACCGTTCCGGGATTATGATGAGGATGAGTTTGTGATGTCGAATTGTTACGATCTTCCGGTATCCGAATGTAATGCAACGGTTCCAAGTTCTGGTAATTTTAGACACTTTTTATGAGGTCTTATTTCTTTCTAAAGCTGTGTATGCATCATTGTGAGCTATTCATCCTATCAGAGTGTCATCCAATTCCTAGAACTTGCTCGGTTTATTTAAGAGGTATTACGTGAAATGTTGAAGAGTGGGAGGTTCTCCGATTTTATCATTGACGTCGACAATTTCGAATTTCCTCTACACCGATGTGTACTAGCGGCCACCTCTCAGTACTTTAGCGCTATGCTCAAAGACCAGACGCTGGAGACCTCCAATGGCCGTGTGAGTCGTACTTCCTCTATTCTTTTTTTAGAGATTTCATTTTTCTGTTCAGGTGGAACTAAAGGACATTAGCGCTGATGTGTTCGCAATAATTGTGGATTACATTTATGAGGTGAAGAGGCCGCAAAGTGAAGATATCACCATGGAACTTATTAAGGCCGTTGATATGTACGTGCTTTTGTAATCAACTCACTGATGAAATGAACTATTCATACATCCTTGATGAACCGGAGGCGGAGCTGGTATAGTGGGAAGTGGTACGCTTACCACGCGCGCAACCGGCAGTGAATCTCGGATGGGCTCTTGCCTGGGCCAAACAAATCTTCCTGGGGACGGCGAACAGTGACTTGTACATCGGCCCGCATTGGGAGTATCCTCTTGTTGACACCGCCTAAAAGGCCCCAACATGGCCTCTCGTGTGTCCATAGGCTTAACATTTGAATTTTCTGCGCGTGTCTCCGATCGCGGACCACTCATCTTGTACATTTGAGAGCTTCTACCTGAGTTCATCGTGTACCGTGCCTCCAAAAACCGTGTTTTTCATTGGCCCTCTTTCGAGCCATGTCCCTATTAGACCGCGTTCATACTTTGCGACTGAGGAGAGTGGGCGATTTGAGAAATTGCAATTCGAGTGATTGTGGATGAGAAAGGTATAGGTATCGATCTGGCGTCTGTGGAGATTAAGGAATCCGCCGATTTGCGAGTCTCGGCAAATTTCCACAATGCCGAGTCGTGTCTCTCAGATGGCCGGATCCCCAAATTTCCGCGCTCGCTACCGAACTGCGCTGATCTACGCCCATGCACTCCTTTGACCGCGATCGACGGAAACGCCGGGTCTCCCAAATCGCCGGTTTGCTCAATCTCGCTCAATCAGTCAGCTAGATTGATACCTCTAGTTTCCGCGCGATCTTCCCCATCGCAGAGTCTCTCACTCGTCTAACCTCGTGTGAAAATGCTCCTGATCCTGGAACATTCTAAATTACAGCCTATCGCAAAGAACAGGTCCAAACAACTTTCTTTTGAACAGAACATTATCTATTTATTCAGGCTCATGATGGATGGAATGAAAGCTCACTGTTGTGCGGTTTTGATGCGAGATATAACTGTGGAAAACTTTGCTCTTCGGCTTCAGATTGCAGAATTTCTAAATGTAAGTGTTTTGAGAAACTAATTTGAGATAAACTTCATTTCTTTCATGAATTTTAGGATGATCGTTTGTTCAAGCGACTTGTAGCATTCCTAGCCACCAATCGTAGAGAAGTTTTCGCGCACGAGGTACTTTCTCCTAAAGTCAATTTTCTTAAAGACAACCTTACGAGGACCGTTCTTGTCATGTGCTAGGCGAATAGGTCCGCAGCTGCAGTAGCGTGACACTTTTCCTGCTCAGAAAATTCCAGGAATGGGGCTGGAGGGTAGTGGTGTGGTGTCTCCCTATCCCGCCGGCGTTACCCTCAAGGTGCAGCAGTTGCACCGATACCATGGTCTCCCAACGAGGTGCGTATTCCGCGACAGAGAACAGCCAGAACTGAAAGGATGCAGGCAAGGCAGCGCGTTCGGCTCTGGTCAGGCGCGTGGTTGGAGCCGGCATCCGCGTCTCACTGCCCTCCAGTCTCGTTCGCATGCACTTTCGACCGGAGAGAGTGACACACTACTGCAGCTGCGCCTCTCACGGCAAGAACCAGGATCATGTTGATTAGTGTACAGTATGTCGCAAAAAAAAACTAGATGGTATAGTTATGAGTAATGTCTGGCAGGACTGGGTTTCACTGCGAAATGTTCATCCGAAGATGGTATGTCGAGTAATGGAAGCTGCATGGGCGTATGCCGAAGGCCAGTTCCCTTACATAAAGTTTATCAAGAGGCGTCGCTTCTGCCTCTGAGTTGTCTACTCGTTCTGATACTGGTATCTCTGTACATATAGAAGGTGAAGATTTATAGTTGTACTAGTGATTCTCTTGACACGCTGTCACGGTAACTGAATCGTTTGATATCTCCTGCCTATGCTGCTAGTTGCCCCTCCATGTTTCTGGTATACCTGTCGTAATACCAACGAGTAAAAAATGGGGGTGCTTATCCGTCGCTAATATCCTTGGGGTGGGCCGCACTTGTAAGCACTTGTCAACATGCCTGTGAACTGTACACTGTGAGTGCCGAACAAACTTGTCAGCGTCCTGCACGCCTTGTTATCACCTGTCAAGCACCCTGTAAACTCCTGTCGGACTTGTCTGAATGACACCATTTCGCTGAGCTTGACAGGAATTGACAGGTTGCTTGACAGGAACTTACAGGACTTGTAGGATCACACACGATTGTGAAAAGGCAGAGACCCTCTTTGAAAAAGTTCTTAGGTGTGGCCCACTGCCATTTTATTAGCGCCACCTGTCCCACCTACCCCACTAGAATGTCACGCCTTCGGTATCGATGGCTACGTACTGAAGTATTTTCAGAGTAGCTTTCTAGCAATGACAATCGATATAGACAAGCGTACTTATTGTTAGTTGCTAGGGAGTATATGTAATTTTCTCAATATTGCCAAAAAGCTGGACGAGAGCAGTTGAGAGAGTGCAAGCGCTATGAGAGCTCTTGAGTTAGTTCCCCCTCAAGTTTCTATTCATACAGAAGAGACTCCTTTTTCCTTCAGCTTTTTCAGTGCGCATATCAAGAACTCGTCCGCACGTTGGGGTTCGCCAGCGAGGGGGGGGGGGGAGTCGCGCGTCGATGAGTGGGCAGGGTGGCTCTTGCGCTTCTAGAAAATCTTCTCTTCTTGTTCACTTTATCTCGTTTTTCGGCCGTGTCGAGTGCGCCGAGCAAATCCCTTCCCCCGGCCGTCACACGGCAGACGCATTCGGAGGAAAAAACTGGCAGTTTCTGCTAAAACTGAGGTTAGTGGTAGAGTGTCAGGGAAAGGTGGGTGGACAGGCATGAAAGAAGGTTGGTGACCGCGACAGGGAATAAAAACGGTCGGTGTCCGCGTCGCTTTAGTGGTGATTAAGGTGCGTGGTAAGAGAATGAGGCGTCGCGCAGAGGAATAGACATTGTGGTTGGGAGGGGGTATTCTGTAAAATTTTTCCCCAACGGCAGAACGTGCCCTGGGCAGTGCTGTATTTATTACCACCTTTTTCAGCAGATATTGATCGTTGTAGAGCTGATGTCGTCAAGCGGCGGAGGTGTGGAACGACCCCTTCCATGGTTGCGTTTTCCACCAATAGTGACCGGTTCAGGTGGGAAACAACCAATAGTAGAAAACGGTTGGGCTCACTTCGCGCCTCCTGACACTGCCCCGCCTGATTGCGAAGATATCAGCTATAGTTATCGTGTTGGCTGCCTTTAGAATAGTTCTGGCTTCGAGAAGTTATCTTGTGTTATAAAACCTTTTAGCTAGTGTATTTTAACGATTCTTAGCTAAAACAGTTCTCCAAATGCTTGTCTCGTCATGGGTATATTTACTGTTTACTGTGTATGCATCTTTGTTTGACGTTGTTCTTGTAAATCTGTTTGTTGAGTGGACTAATGAATAATTCGTTACCTGTCGTGGAGTTAGTAGTGCTTTTCCGGTCGCTTTATGCTGTGCCATACTACACTGCGAAGCATAATCATAGTTCCACCCATGAATCTCACAAAATCCCGTCTTACACGACGTTTTCAAAAATGCCCCCATACAGAAATGTGGTAATTACCAATACCAATTCGCATGCCAACACTGAACTCTAGCTTGAAAAAGTATAGTTCCATCGCATATTTTTCGGCTGCATCTCATTTTTGTTCGGTGAAACTTCTCATCATTATGACTTCTTGCCTCTTCTAGGCTATGGCAAGTGGAACTTCATTAATGGACCTCGAAAAAGGACAGATTATCGCAAAGAAGACTCAAAAACTGTGAACCGTCGAATCGCGCGGGATTCGGGCCGCACTCATCATGCTATCAACAATTTTTTCCAAGGGACCTACAGGATATTGAGCTGAGAAGAGCTCTGGACATCCTCCTTTGCTGCCCGATCGGAATAACCGCCGTATCCTAAGGAGCATCCAACTCTGCAGTGTCGTGTCGGGAAATCAAGTCATCTT